TTGTTTATTTTTGAGAGAGACAGACAGACAGACAGACAGACAGACAGACAGAATACAAGCAGGGGAGAGGCAGAGAGAGAGCAAGACACAGAATCCGAAGCAGGCTCCAGGCACTGAACTGTCAGTACAGAGCCCAACACAGGGCTCAAACTCACAAACCGCGAGATCATGACATGAGTGGAAATAGGATGCTTAACCAACTGAGCCACCCAGACACCCCACGTATTCTAACAGTAGCAGTCAATCATACCTTTTATTCCTTGGCTTTCCTTTTTTTCTAGATTGAATAGTTATCATTTTTTTATTCTACGGTGTATTTGTATATTTCATACATCATTTTATTTGAATGATACTTGGAGAATTTTGCCCTGATTTTCTCCTTGTGCTGATACATTTTGTTCAGGTTCCCCTTTACTTTCTTCTGAGACCTGTTCAGTATCCTCTCTGAACTAACTTTTGGGGACACATTTTATATTCCAACCACATTTCTTAGACACTATGTCTTTAAGCAAGGGGGCCTGGAAGGAAGTTAGAAACAATACCATGAAGCTCTAATCTTTTTTTTTTTCCTTTGTCATCATCTTTTGAGGTTTGTAGTATCAGATTGTTCCCTTTACTTTTTTTGATAACTGCAAATATTTTAACTTTTTTATTATATGTATATTTCACTGAGGAAAAGTAGTATTTATTAGGCTTTGATAAATTACCATGATCATTACCAGAAGTATTACTATAACTAATTTTTACTGTGTTTTCCTATTTTTGTATAGGATATGAGAGTTCACACTGTTAACTTCTTTGCCATTGTAGTGCAAACAATGTGTATAACAGTGTCTGAATAGTAAACTGTCATTGCTGTATACCTCAACCAATGGGTGATACATGAATAGTCATCAACTTGAAGATATAAGTTCCAGTTTGGTGTTTCAAGGGAACTAAATTCCCATGCATTAAGTGAAGTATGCCTGAGGCCTGTCTTCCAAATGATAGTTTAAGGAAATTCTCTACCCATCATCCGGCCTTCCAGTGGAAATCAACACCCTCTAGATGAATTTTATTTCCCACACTGGAAAAACAGCTGGAAATAATTTCTACCTTTTGTGGCATTTATTATTTGTTCTACAAATGTAGGTGAAGTCCCTTAAAGGGAAATATAATTTATTTTATGACTTTTAATTCTCAAACTTCTAAAAGCAAAGAATTATTTTAGTGAATGAATGCACTGTTCCTAACTCTACACACAAAGATTCATTAAACAGAAAAAAAAAAAAACAACTTACCTAGTTTTCTCCAAAATTTTGATACTATCTGCTTCTAGGCCTAAGCTTACCTTTAAATATCAAAGTACAAATACAATATAAAAATATTACTGTTAGACACACTCATAAACATCAAAATAAAAGGAGGAAACTTATAAAAATAGTTTCCTGTGGACTACAACAAACAGGAAATCTTTAATTGAGAAAGTGAAGTCTCTAAGAAAGGACCCATAATGAAACTGAAGCTTTAGTTACACATAGAGCAACAATGCTGTGTCTAGAATACAAGTTCCAAACTTGGACTTATGATTGCCGTGTGCAATGTATTCCTTATATACTATTTTTTTCTTTTGCTCTGGTTTCATTTTTATAGACTGTCATGTACTATATATGAACTCATTTTTACACTAAACCCTTTGGCAAACTTACCTCAGTATTTAAGGAATTGCCTGTCTATTTGAGAACTTGGCTTGAAACAACAAAGGGGCAAATGGTAGAAAGATGGCAAAAATCTGCTTTCTAGATCAACAGCCAATGAGCAGAAAATAGACATGTACACACAAGTTAGGCTGAGTATCTAAAATAAGTTATGCTTAATTATAAACTCTGTAAATCTCTCATTTGCATTGAACCATAGGTTTTGTCAAGCTTTTGAGTCTGTGAGGCAAGAGGGGGGTGGGGCTGTCCCCCACTCAGGAAGGCCCAAACCTCAGGACTGACTCTTCCTTTAGGAACTTTACCCATGATTTGTGCATCCTTGATCATTTGCTCCTTTTTTGAAAGTGACTTTTTCAAAATGTTGTTATTTTGGTCTCAGTGGTTTACAAAATTGGGTTAACTTCTCTCTGAATTCCTTAGATTACAATCATACAAGTGGGTGCTTACATGACAGACATATTTCTATCACTGGAAAGCTAGTTTTCATAATAACATAATGCACTTGTTACAAATATAACTTCACATATGTAAAACTACCTATGGCACTCCTGTAGATATGTTCCTCCCATGCATATCTTCATCTCAATTGATGGCAATAGTTCGTTCTAAGATCACTTTTAATCCATCCAAAAATTCTGATGGCTCTATTTTCAAAGTATATCCAGAATCTGAACACTTATTACCACCCCAATATTGCCACCCTGGGCCAGACCAACAAGAGCTCCCGCCTGGATTATCACACAGCGTCCTCTCTGGTCTCACTGCTCCCATGTACAGTACAGCATCCTGTTATGTTTGAAAACATGGTTACACTGTGTCACTCAGAAGGCCCTCTCACAAAGTAAAGGAATACAAGCTCCTTTTAGCTGTGTATTATGATCATTAAAGGCTTTGATCCAGTAAGGAAAACTTTAGATATTTGTCTAGTAGATATACAGAGCACCAAACAAAACATATGTTCCGCGTTTAAAGGCACCGGCTAAAGAGACAGACCAATCCGAATCCAAATTCAATTTCCACTACCAATTATCATCAATTATGACTTAAGAAATCTGATTAATGTCTCCAAATATCAATATTCTGATACATAAAATGGGATCAAAACAATGTCATAACATTTTATATGACTATAACAATGTATAGGATTGGTGTATCAAAGTCTAACCAGGAAGAAAGAAACCACGTAAAATGTTTATAACAGGGTATTTAAAATTTTTTTTACATTTATTTATTTTTTAGAGATAGAGTGAGACAGAGTGCGAGCGGGAAAGGGTCAGAGAGAGAGAGACTGAGAGAAGGAGAATCTGAAGCAGGCTCCAGGCTCTGAGCAAGAGTTCAGCACAGAGACAGATGTGGGGCTCGAACCCACAAACCGTGAGATTGTGACCTGAGCCAAAGTCAGATGCTCAACCAACTGAGCCATACAGGTGCCCCTATAGCAGGTTATTTAATTCTGGGAATTAGTTACAAAGGTGTTGTGGATTTGGGGAAGCCATAAAAGTGATTATGACCTAACCCAGAGATTAGCAAAAGTGGGAAGTTACTGTCACCCTTAAACTGGAGGACTAAATGTTGGTACTAGTCAGAATCATTCTTTCAAAGCTCGAACCACAGTGGGCCAGATATAAGCTTAAACAGAAAATACTGCCCAACAAAGATGAAGGTGAAAATAACCTGGCATTTCCGTTCTCACTACACTCTAAAAATCCCACCAGTGTCTCCACTGTCCAATGCAGCTAGAAGCCAACTGACAGGGGTCCTGGGAAATGTACCTGGGAAATGGATGAAGAGGTGAGCCCCTCTCATAAAGAATGGAAAATGGGAAGAGGGATGAGTTTGGGAACAATTGGTCCCAAGGGCTAGCATGGTCTATCACCAAAGATCTTAAAATTGGCTATGTAGTCTAGAGGATACTTAAATGTTCATGCAAAGCATCAACTTTAAATTGCCATGGCATGGAGGGTACATTATCTAGGAGGATAGAGGAAGTTTGTTTTTATGGGCTGGGGTTCATAGATGCCGAAATTAACACTGACTTGAATGTCAAGGTAAATACTTCTACTGGATCTCTGATATTGGTCTTCTTAATGAGAATAAAGAGTACATATAACTAATTGTCATCCAAGAGAGGATATTAGTAGTCAGATTTTGGGAAAAAATAATTGCACATTATTTGAGGTGATTTATTGACTTAAAAATGGGAAGAAGCCATTGAGACATCTGAGTTATAGACATGAGACAAATCTAAAGAAGACAACCTAAATCCTTATCCAGAAATGAAGAACAAAGCTACTCACTGATGTAGATACACTTCACCCTTTAATGGCTTTCGTTCATGATCAATGGGGAAAATAAACCCTGTAGGATTTTGAATTCATATTTATTCTGTTGATGAATATATATTTTTATATGTTAATGAACATAAACTTGAAATGTTAAGCATATCTTGGAAGCATATTTTTGCTAATTACACATTGCCTTGCATCAGGGTATTGTTGACTTTCCATTAAATAATTTGAAAATTCGGGTACTACATTTGAAATGCTTAACATATTTAGTTAGGAAGTAAGTTCAGCCTTGTAATATTATAATGACTTAGCTTTGCAGGTATCTCAGATAAAAAAGATCAGTGAACCAGAATTCTTTCTTACTGTGTTGACACAAAGTCCGAGTCACGTACATATCTCCAAGACAATTCTGAGAAAAATACATCTATTGCCCAGAAACTCAGTGTCAGTGAAATTAAGAACCAAATGTTTGTATGCCTACAAAGAAATTTTTGCTTTGACCCATTTTCTACCTATAATGAGGCAAAATCAGGTGGACCTCAAATGTTTTAGGTTGGTTTGGATAACTCAGCATATATATCCTGCTATTGTAATTAGCAGCAGTGGTTTAAAGTTTACAGAAGCAAAAACATGAAACTAAAGCTCTGGGTTAGAAATTAGGTTAAGAATAAAAGAGGAAATAAATATTTAATTAATGCAGAATCAAAGCTCTGGCAGTGAGATGGGGTCTTTATTATTACAGATGAAGCTTTCTAAAAGTAAGGCTACATAAAATGTATGAACCCTATTTAATTTTGTTAACATGAGGTTAAATATCTTTGAGATTATAATAGGGTATCTTGTCTTCTGTGCTTGCATTCTAAAGTATCAACAAAAATATGGCTGTATTTCTTCCTAGAATAGTTGATTTGAAGCCCTGTGTTTTTGTGAAAGAGCTTGCAAATGAACTCTACAAAATTGTAAAGTGGAAGATAATATTAAGAGGAAATACTTATCGTTGCTCATTTATTTTCAGTGAATATGCCCACATATGTCTCCTTCAGGATGACATACAAACAACATTGACAAGTATGTAACATTTTCTTTTAACCTAAATTCTAAGCCACGATTGTTGCTGACCTTTCTTTCATTTTTCTTTCTTGAAAATTATAAAACCGAATTTGAATATTTTAGTACATTTAGTGTTGCCTGAATGAGAACATCATTCAGTGAGGTCTGAGGAAAGTTCCAAAACATCAATCAGTTTATAGTCTTCAGGCAAATTCTGTCACATTTTCTGCTAATGTCTTTCTAAACCTGTTCCCATTCAGAGTATGTAATGTGAAGTGAAATAGCTTATTCCAAAGTGCCACTAATTATATGCCACCATAACTATTATTTTAAGTTATTGTATTCCTTAGATTTAAATGATCTCTAATGTGTTTAAAGTTAATATTTGATGAAAACTTGTTAATATTTAAATAGTTTGCCTACTGCAATAGATTCTATGGAAAATGGGAGTATATCATATGATCATCTTTGAATGAATAAAGAGAAAATCTCAAATGATCTTTCCTTTGTTCAGTCATACTTCACTATTTTTAAGACTTGAGATTTTTCAGTTCACAAATTTACTAGATGTGAATTTGAATACATTTATAATGTTCATGTTTCCATTTTGAATGGGATTTGTTATTGTATTTTGGTTATCTTTTAGAAATTTCAAAATTTACTGTCAGTGTGCATTTTTTTATAGTAGGAAACTACTTCTTAAGAGCTTGCCAATAAAATATTGATGAAAAATTGATGATTTTTTTTCTTTTCATTTATCTGGAATCCATTTATTCATCAAGGTGGTAACTTCACCAATAACTCATTGGAATAGTCTACGATTTTTAGGGAAGAATTAGGATTATAACAGGAAACCACAGGGGAAATTTAAATGATTTGTCTTTTAAAAAGTAGAACATGGTGATTTAGGGCAGTTAAAGAGTTCTGGGACTGAGAACATCAAATGTAGTGCTAGAAGTGTAGTTACATGGTTCAAGAGAATGACTTGAGCATCATAAAGCCTGAATCTCCTTGGATTCTGATTTGTTTACACAGATATTCTTTCAACTCATGCTTAATAATGTGTTGTTAAAAATAAGTTGGCTATTAAAAAAGTAAGTTGACTATCTTTTTATCATCAAATGGCAAAATTTCTTAGCTTCATCTCTTACCCCATGCACAGGCTGGGGAGGAAATAGGTAACAATTGCCTTCTAAGTCCTTTTTCTTTTGGAGAACTTAAGTTTTTGGAAGGAAAAATAATAAATAATCTAAGGGGCATCATTGTCTCTTTGTAACTAACTGGGGCCTGAAACAGGACAGCAATACCTTTCTGACTTTCAAGTCTCAATTCTCTGATGTCTCCTTAGAATTGGGATGCTCTTGTAATGAGCAGTGATGCATCAGCAATACATTTAGATTTTCTATTTCTCAAGAACTTTCACTCAAAAACCTATATCAATATCTTAAATACACATGAAGAGCTTGACAAAAAAAGCCTGCGATTTTGAATCGTAATTTTCAAAGTGCTTTTTTGTACATTATTCCATTTGTTACTCAAACTTATAGAGTTTCTCATGAATATAGATTAGAAAAGCTGTACTTTACAGAGAAAGAAATTGAAAACTCAGAAAAATGGTTTTCCAAAATAAATGAAGTGCTCTTAGAAATGTGTTGTTTTGATTTTGGATTGAAGACACTGCACCAGATACCTCACTAGGCCATGGTTAGTAGAAATCCCAGTGAAACGGATACTGCTTGCCACTAATGGGAATTCCCTCTCCACAGAATATTTCTGTCACCTGTGGAAACACTAGCTTTCCTCTAAAATTCCACGACTGGGAATAATCTCTCCTTTTCCCATTGTATTCTTTCATCGTGGAAATTTTTGTTTTCTCTTTCAGGACATGAGAATTACTTATATACCTACTTCCCCCGGACTGTGAAGTCTGGGACCAGGATTGATGTATCTTTTTGTCTCTCATAACATCTAACAAAGTGTTTTTCATATGGTAATGCTTAAAATGTGTTTGTTTATTGAATAAAACATGTCAGTACAATTTTGAACATCTATAAGAAAAGAAAGTAATGTGAGACAAAGTAATGTGGATAAAACAAACGTAGCAAAATATTAGGAAACTATCAGAAATGCAGCAATAATGTTTTACCAATTTCTCCAACAAGCTATGCAAATAAGTCAGTCATTTAAACTGAATGACATTTGTGGAAGTATAAAACCAATGAAAGGGTCTTTATTTAAGGACTTACTTAAGTTCTCATTAAAGGCTAGATGGAAACTTTATTTATTTCGTTGTTTTTTAAATTTTTTTAACGTTTATTTTTGAAGGAGAGAGAGAGAGAGAGAGAGCGCATGAGTGGGAGAGGGGCAGAGAGAGGAAGACATAGAATCTGAAGCAGGCTCCAGGCTCTGAGCTGTCAGCACAGAGCCTGACATGGAGCTCAAACTCACAAGCCATGTGAAATCATGACCTGAGCCAAAGTCAGACACTTAACCTACTGAGCCACTCAGACGCCCCTGGAAAATTTTTTTTAACTGTGCAATGGATGGTATGAGATGGTATATTTTGTGGAAGTTGGGCAACTTTATTTGAACTGTGTACACTACAGAGAATAGAAATACTTCTGTAATGTGTTCAGTTCATTAAGAACTTGGAGCAAAAAAATGGCTGTACATTACATGCTGAGATCTTCTTAGGGCAAAACTGCATGCAAGAATTAGTCTGAAATCTTCCTAATGTAGGTACTTTTGGTGACGAGAGTTTGGAGTAAAGTAGCATATTGTTAACATTTACTTATGGCTTGTAAGAGGTTTTAGAAAATTCCATACCTGTAAAGCAGAAATACTTTCTTGGTTCATAAAATAACAGGCAGGCAACCTTCTAACCTTGAGGATATTCCTGTCTATAGCAAGAAGATAAAAAGGCTGGTACTACTGCTTTTGCCACAGTAATACATATTCCTAAGATTTCTTAATCATAACCTTATGGTTTATACAAATTACATATGTGAAAATGTTTCTGAACGTTTCACTTTCGCTCTGGATGACTGCATAATGATTGAGTTACAGCATTACGTAGTAATCTCGTCTTATTTAAATCAAGCAAGTCAAAGAAATTATCCACGTCTTATGCAAAGTCAAACACACCTCCAAAAGTCTAAAATGATTTCAAGTTTAGCACTATAGATACTCACATAGTGATAATTCAAATTTTTTTCTATCTAGTCCTTCAAATAGATTCCTTTGTTCCAGTGATGCTAAGTGGTTAGTATATTTTTGAATTTTCAATACAATCTAGGGATTTAAAAATACTTAGTGTAGTTAGAAAAAAACACTATCTTTTTATAGAAACTTTATAATATGCTGTAGTTGGGGAATGTTAAACTTTACTGTTTATTTGATGCCACAAACATCAGTACATTCAAGAGTACATATATTTATTATAATCAGAGAGATTAGAACCCTTTAAGTTCCTTTTTGCAGATATGTATCCCTCTCCTTCCTTCCCCTTCTATTTCAGGAGTTTTTAATCCATTTCAGTATTCATATGATATTATTATAATAGTTCTTAAATATTCCAGAAAAGAATATTGATAACATTGAGAGGCATCTGGTCACAGGCATATGTATTTTAAGTAACTTGATTCATGTGCTGAGAAACTTCCGAGAAGGCCAACATGTGATTCATATCTAAAGGTTCTCTTTCCTAAATATCTAGTAGAAATTGACATGAATATTACAATTTATATTAAACAAGTGTTTACTATTTTAAGCATTATAGTTGACATGCTATTTAGAAACCATGGTAGGGGCACCCTGGTGGTTCAGTCAGTTAAGCATCCAACTTCAGCTCAGATCATGATCTCACAATTTTTGAGTTCAAGCCCTGTTTTGGGCCTCTGTGCTGACAGCTCAGAGTTTGGAGCTTGCTTTGGATGCTGTGCCTCCCTTTCTCTCTGCCCCTCTCCTGCTCACATTCCATCTCTCTCTCTAATAAACAAACACTAAAAAAAAAAAAAAAACACTGAAAAATCATGGTAGAACAAAAGCATTTAAAAACCTGTTAGCATTTTATAACTAATTGGCATTAACTCAAGATAGTATTTTTAGTGGTTTGGTATTCATTCATGTCAGTTATTTCAGAAGATGTTTAATTCATAGTTTATACATAATTTAATTCACTTGAATTAATTTCCAATCACTGGCATTGAGTAAAAATAGTATACATTGACTTAAATATATATATTAGTAATACAGTTATTTACATACATATACAATTATGATTTTAAGTATTTGATATGGGTTCCTCATCTGTTAAATTACTTAATTTATTAATATTCAAAGTTATGTGTATGAACAACAAAGTTTTAAATAAGGTATTGAAAAGTCATAGACTTTTGGATTTTCTGTGGGGGGGGGATTGTTAGTACAAAAAAGTAGGGAAGATATCTTTATAACACAGAAGACTGCTAAACACATACCAGTGTTTGCTGGAATACCACCAAATGACACAGAAATCTCACTATCTCATAATGCACTCCACTCCATTATTGAATGGTCCAATATCAGAAAGAGAATCTTCATGTTAAAATGAAATTGCAAAATATTTATATGCAGAAGTTACTTGGCTATAAAAATTATACTTGCATTACTTCTTCTTGATTTTCTTATTCTTAAGTGCCAGGCACCAGGTCAAACAATTACCAAATAGAGACAAGAGTATGGGCCTTTTTACAATGCCCCGATTCCTCTACAAAAGGACCCAAAGCAACGCATGGGAAATCTCCCCAAAAGGAAAATGGCATGCAGCCTTTATTAGAATTTGTCTGACCCAAAATCACTGCCAAAAGATCTTCTTCCACAAAATTAGCAATTGGGGCAATACCAGGGAAGAAGGCCACTCATTTCCTTGAATCCCTTGTTAATGTCCACTTGCCCCCCCCCTAAAATTGGAGATGCATTAGGGACAGTATTGGTATGTGTGGGGTAGATGGCTGTGTAGGCTAACAGCCAACATCAGTCCCAACTGATCAGTTGTTTTAGTAAGGCCCTGTCATGCCTTACTCATTCTTAAATATTTTCCATACTTTGTATAAACATCCTTAACGTCTTAACCCAAGACATCACTTAATTCAAGACAGAAGTAAGGAAGGAGTGTAAAAGAGATGTTTGGAGGATGAAAAAAATAACTCCTAAATGTCTCTCTTCTCTTGTTGCCACATTCAGAAACAAATTAGCCATCTCTTTGTTTTAATAAGGAAAGAGCCTATTCTACTTAGAAAAGATTTTATTGGGGGGAGGAGCTATTGTTGAACTAGGACACAAGTGTAATAATTTATAATATTAAAATAATGTTATGAATTTTTTACTGTAAATGTTATGTGTAATTTCTAGAAAGAAAATATGAAGTGAACTAATTAAGTTTACTCAATATTCTATGACCCTTATAATTAGTTTTTATTGACTTACTAAGAATTACACTTGAACAGATTTTATGATAAAATGCTCATTTCATTTTAAAACAGAAACTGAATGCTGTCACAATTATTATTTATCAAAGTAGATAAAAATGAACTGACCCTGTAAGGTTTATTTTGTGAATGTGCATTTGTAATTATTTGGTTTAAAAAGTTCATTCCAGCAAGCAAAGTAGAGAGTTAATGGCTCCCATTTGTAAATAGGTGACATAACTTATTGTAATGCTCAATTATCTCTGGTCCATGAATTGTTCAATTATGCAAGCACTCATCTGCCAAAATAAATACTCATTAAGGTGAGCATCTATGCCAAAAATACAAATTTTCTGCATTTTGACTATGTATGTATACTGTAAACTCTAGAGAAATAGATTTACAGCACCAATTAAAAACCATGGAGTCTAGATATAATTTGAAAAAAATTAGATGTCCATTAAAGAGCAATGAAATGGGTTTGTTTAAAAAATGCCTAAAATTATCTTGTTAGATACGTTCCCTGATTGGAGAAAAATAAATGAAACCTCACATTGACATTCAAATCCTATTTTCTTTAAAAAGGAAAAATGGTCAAGGGTGAACGAAATAAGAATATCACTCAAGTCCTACGTTAGAATAATAAATAGCACACACACTCGCCCTGTAAGTTCTTCAAACTCTGCAGAAAAAAGAAGAGTTCATGCATCTCATTCAAACTTCAAAGCTACTTTCTCCTTTTTATGTTTAAACCAAAGCTTTCAAGAATGGAGGCCAGGTTTCCCTTACAATTTAAAATTCAAAGAGCACCACTTTGAAATTTAATAGAGCAGTGTTTGCTAAAGTAAACATTTTAGTCACAGTGCAGGCAGATGCCTCCGTGTATACGCAGCCTTTTCTGTAGGTATTAAAGCCCTGCTTCGAACTATTGGAATGTCTCTTCCCCAACAGTCATTGAAAAGATAGAGATTTCACGGAGTGCAGCATCCCACTTCGCCAAACAAAATACACCTTTGACGTTAAAGCAATTTTGAGACTTAGAAACTTCTGATGGCACTTTAAAAGTTGTGCTGCCGAAAAATCAAACAGGAACATTGAAAACGAGGATCCCAGATTCCTGTGAAAGGTTTTCACTACCCACCACCTCCGCCCCCCATCCACAACCATGGGCCTGGAGAAAAAGGCCCCTGAAGGAAGAGAGAGAAGTGAGTTAGACAAGCGTTTATGGTGATCAACACGTGGTGTGAGAAGCCTTTTGTATTATTATAAAATGGGTTACTAACACTGCTCAGTGAAAGGCGCTGTTTCTTTTACAATGCATACCAAATCCAATTACGGAGAAAGAACGGTGGAAATTCTTTTCTTATTGAGAGCTAAACCAGCTTACTAAACCATGTAATTTTTTCCAGTAAGCCTAGAACATAAACATGTATATGTATTAAAAGGACTTTTCTCTATGCATTGGCTACTGTGTTATCAAACATCTTTTTTATTCTTGCAGAATATTTTCCCCTTGTTTTAAATTTCAATTATATTTCATTTAGAATCGATTTACACGGATCAAGAAATTGCAAAATTAATGATAGAAC